ATATATAAGATCTGCAATTTGTCTCCGCTTGGAAAGTGAGTGTATTTCAAATTGATCATAGACTTCATTGGTGCTCATGTCATGACCTCTGATGCCCATATAGTACTTGGCGTATTTACAGAACTTCTTTTGAATATTTTCGATTCGATCCACAAGAATGTCGGTGTATGGTCACCAGATTGTTGAGCAATATTCCATTATTGGACGGACCAAAGTAAAATATAGGTATATTAACTTATAGACATTGTTAAATTCCCTTCCAGATCTGAGTATAAATCCCAGCATCTTGTATGCTTTGGATTTTATCTTGTCCACATGATTCGAGAACTTCAATTTATTGTTGATAATGACGCCCAAGTCCTTTATGGATTCGATTTCCTCGAGTTGGTGTCCACTAAGATAATAAGCTGCAGGTTGTCATTGAGGAGAGCGAGAGAAAGACATCACCACACATTTATCAACGTTCAGTTTTAGCCTATTCCTCAAACACCAACTGCTAAGTTCCTCGATATCTTGCTGACGAATGCATATATCATCATAATCAGTAATTTTTCTAAATATTTTCAAATCATTTGCATAAAGTAAATAATCTGATCGGAATTTATTGCCAATATCGTTGATGATAATGACTGATTTGTTGTAAATTTGGGAGATAGATGTGATCTGTGTCATTAGTAAGAATTAAATCCAAGAATAAAGGGATTTAGTTTCCTCTGTATCTCATAAATTCATACACTTGGATAAGATGTACAAATTTATGAGATAAAGTTTGAGTCTTTACTAGGAGCACATTAAGTATTGCTCTATCAAACTCAGCAAACACAACACCCGTACATGGCTGATTTAATTCAAACCACTCTTTAAATACTCTGAATACTAATAAGAACAAAATACTAAATTTCAACAAAATCGTTCAAGTACACTGTTAAAACAGACATATGCATATTCCTTTTTATTCATATATAGATATAATAAGAAAAGTATATATTCATCCCAAATAATTTAAAGCAACAGGAAATAGTAATCTTTTTATAACAGCAAAACACCACCCTCAAAGTTTTTACAATAACTCAAAATAACCACTTTTAATACAATACAATGGTGTCTAGGGGGGAGGGATGGAAACATGAAATGATTCCTACTACGCAAATAAAAAATCACTAATTCATTTTGCTTGTTCAATTAACTTACATTCACAAGAATGTCCACTCCCTTTACTTTGCTTTGGTGTAACTTCTGCCAATAAGTAGTGTAATTAGGCAGGCCTTTCAGAGCTCGGCAAACAAGATTAAGGGTCTGCACTTGAAACAGAAGATCTCTTGCCACTGTAAATTTACCACTTGTGACAGCACCTTGAATGTCAAACTCCAATATATCACGATACATCTGAGGGATTTGAAGATGAATATTGTCCTGCTGCAGAATTGTCACAATACCCTGAAAAGGTTTTAACTTTATGAAATAATAATTTATGAAAATACCAAAATACAAGTTAACAAAAATAAAGGCAGTAGGAGAGTGTTACAACAAACTAATGGAACAAAGTCAAAGTCAAATTCTTACTGGTTTGACACATCTAGTTATTTAGCAACAAAATTAAAGATAATTTATATAAATATTATATTATTTGATAATTTATATACATTAAAAGCTTAAATTGAACAAACATGGTAACAGGCAAGTAATACATTTTTGAACACCAGCACACAAAGTAAAGAAACAAAATCACATTAAGGCAAATTAATTTTTGTTTAAATATATACAAGCATGGGTGCTTAAGGTGAGAACTTGACTAGTCCTCTGCCATTAGTACTTCTCAATGAATGTCTAATACTATTATTCTATATACTATACTATATCTACTATGTATATAATTCATATGGTTTTTATGTGATTAAAATATTTCATTAAAATCGTATCTACACTGAATGGCTAAAGCATAATAACTTACAGTATACTGATTATGAATAGAATGCTGCAACTGAGAAAGCAAGTCGCGCTTTGAAGTGGTCAATTCAAGAGCCTGACAATACCCATTAAACGTTTCTTCATTGATGCTACAATAAGAGAATTGAGTATTTGAACTCTTCAGATGTTCATACAATGTTGCAGCTTTCTGCATACTTTCTCGAGCGGATTCATTCTGTTCTCGAAACAGAAGGTAACTCGCCAAATCAAAATGTATCTGGAAAATACATTTAATATTATATCAAACTGCCATGAAGAAATAAAAATTACTTAAAAATACAAAACAGATACAAAAAACTCTAAAGGAATGTTATGGATAAATACACTAGTAATTTTTCTGGTTTCTATTATTTAAAGTCAAGTGGAGCAAAACACAAGAAAGCTCAATAATAACAAATTTTCTTTAGATATATCAATAATATAATCATTGTAAAAGAGCTAACTTTCTGAAAAATGAAGTTGATCATCCTCACATTGAAAACTAGTGTTGCAAAAAAAAAAATGTTTTTTTCGACCCGTACTTTCACATAAAAGTATGAGAAAAGTACTCAAATTTTCGAAAAATTGTACATGACCTTACTTCAAAATCAATCTTTAAGGAATAGATTTCATTGTTTTTATCAGATTTAGTTATGTCATATTTATTATCCAACAAAAATATTAAATCAAAAACAACGGTGCTTTTTTTTGAAAATATTGAAAATGTCCCAGGGGCTTCATGTAAAGTACTCCCCATAATTAAATATTGGTTTCAAATTCAAGGGTCTGTGACATCAGCCAGATTGATTATGGTATATCAATTTTGGAGAAAATCGGCTGAACAGTTTAGCTACTAACATTGTTTAGAGACAGAGAGAGACATTTTGCAGTCATTCAATTTTTTGATATCAAAGACACACAAAACATGAATTCTGAATACACCACGCGATAGAGGATTTCCCCCCCTAAATTTAGCAACAGGATTTATCCACTTCTTTGTCACCAAGACTCTGTAATAAGAGTTTTTCTGCTGAAAATACACTGTTTTTTCATGCAGCATTACACAACTTTCTCCCCTCTGTGAAAGCAGTAGTGAAAAAATACAAAGGTGACACTCCTAACACACAAAATTACACACCCATTTTCATTCTTATCTCCACTCCTTAAGTTTTTCAAAACAATTATTAGTGAACATCTATGCCATTATTTCAAAACATTAGTAACTGAAAAACATGGCTTTATTGGAAGCAGGTCAACAAAAACTATTGTGCCTTTTTTAAATCCTTTTGATTACAGCACTTGAAAACAATTACCAAGTACTAGATGTAATCTTCATCTCTAAAGCTTTCAGTGAAGTCAAATGCCCACTACTAATTAACAAACTTATTAAGATGGGAATTGGCAACTCAATTTTCGATTGGAATTCAGAGTTATTTGTCTCACTTGTCACAAATTGTTAAAATATGGAAACGAATTAGATTTTTGTTATGCTCATTGGTGATCCCCAAGGGTTGTTACATTGGGTCCTTATTATTTAATATCTTTATTATTTACCTGATTACATAACTAATTATCAACAACTTTAGTATGCAGATGATGCCAAAATGAATAAAGAATTCAAAAATATTGAAGAAGCTTTATCACCACACAAAGATTCTTTGACTAACTGGTGCATATTCAGCATAATTTCTATTACCACAGAGAAATGATATTTCATTACATTTTTATGAAAGAGGACAATATTTTATTTTCACCAAAAATAAATGATAATTTACTTCTGCAGAAATTTAACAAAGATTTAGGTATTATAATGGGCTTAAAATTCATATTAAATAAAAACAGATTCAATGGTCAATTCTGAATTGTAGACATAAGGTTTTATGATGAGAATGGGTAAAAACTTTCAAAATTCCTCTGCAATAGTCACCTTCGTGACATCTTTGCTTGATTATCTGTAATGCAGACACTGAAACTGCAAACCACTTTTTTATTGTAGCAGTTACTATTGTTGCTTTCTCCAAATTCCTAGGCATTCAGATAAATAAGAAAGTATGAGAAATGTTAATGAATAAATTTTCTAGTATTCCATACTTGACACAAGAACTCTTGAGATGATATCTTGATGCCCTTGTCCCAGTCCTGTTTCACATGCAGGGAATCTTCAGTCAGTCCTATGAATGTTTCAAACACGGGAACACTGGGAGGTGGTACTGATTCTTGAGAAGATAACAGTTCCACACTATTTGGTGCTTGAGTTTCTAGGCGCCGCAAAATATCTTCCAAAACATTTATGGCAATATTCCCAGGATCCTGAAGTCCAGGTCTGAAAAGAAATAAAATTAATTTCAAAACTAAAATTAATTTATAACATAATAAAATTAAATTTTTGTAACACCAGGAACATAAAAATTAAAATCAACTTTATACTATGTAAATAAAAAAGAATAAAAATTACACAGTATATGAAAGGATTTTTCAAATATAATAATACTCAAAATATTAATAAGATAAATCAATGCAATGCAGAAAAATACCATTAGATATAGTACTGGAAAATATAGTACTAATAAGATAAATTATTAAAAAAGAGAAAGAGAGATGTACAAACATTCATCAAAAGAAATTATGTACCTTCCTCCTAAGAATTCACAGAAAAAGTACTTTCCTAGATATGTTAGTTAAGTACTAAATTTAATCTTTCCACTACAGCATGTTATATTTTTACAACATTAGCCATAGTCAAGATAAAAACATTTTAGTTTTGTCAATATTATAATTTACAAACAAACAATAATTGTGTAATTATTTAGCAAGTCACATTTGAATGAAAAGAATTTACACTTTCCAAATGGTAAATTAAATTTAATTTGAACGGTTTCACCAACTTTATAAAACAGAAACATTATGAAGTTTCAGCACTGGTAAGAACTCACATTGAAACATTTGGCAATCGGGTCTGACGTATGGAAATGCGGTTATGCATTATAGCTCTGAGTACCCATCGATGGTACAAAACTACAGCAAAAACCACTTGACAGGGTGAATTTGACAAATTCAATTCTGAATGTCGAGACACATCCATATCACAGTCCAAACAAATGAATAAAAGAGACTGCAAGAGTGTTTGCTGCATTGTTAGAGGCAACCTGTAAAAAACCAAATCAAATCAAATTAAACAGCCAGGACTAGTCTATTCTACAAGAAAAAAAAAACCAAAAAAATTGTTTTAAAAAAGGCAATTTAATAACAAACTATGCTGTAGTAAAAATATCCCTTTTTGATGTGAAAATCCTCTTACGTAATCATCATCATCATCAGTGGCAGATTTAGACACAAGACTAGGGCAGCAAGATTTAGTGACGTGACAAATTTGTATGCAACTTTTTTTTTTATAATGTTTATTGAAAGGTAAATTAAATTTAAACAAATAATATTTTTACATTAAAAAATTACGCTTTTTTATAATGTTGTTAAAGCTTTGGGAAAAAAATTCACCATAGAATTTGCTCCGGTTTCTTCAAACAACTGCCTTTACACATTATTTTCAAATGTTGATATCGCCTTTAGTATGTACAAGGTCTTTAGCTTAACTTGCAATGTCTGAAAACACCACCTTTTGTTTTGGCAATTTGGTAACGCATGAAATTCCTTGGGCATCCCTTCCACTTTTAGCAAACCCATGGCTGTGTGTTCTCAGATTTCGAAGTGAGAGAATGTGGCTAATTTATGTGGGAAGAAAGAGAAAGCACTTATTCTGTGCTTGTTAGTCCGTAGCCACTACATACTTAAAAGAATAAACGCCTGTCTCTAGGCAAATGGTGATCACTCTGAGTGTCAGTTTTTATAATATTCAAAAAATTATATTTCATTATTTTCATTAATTATTTTCAATAATTATTAATTTACTACTGATTTATTTTTTATTAGTATTTTTAATAATTTTATTAAGTCTTTCTTACTTGCTTAACAATCATATTCAATAATAACAATAACAATGATAATAATAACAATAATAATAATTATTATTATTACAATGATAATACATTATTGTTATAAATAATGAAGAGCTTGGCAGAAATGTTTTTACGAGATATCTTTCTGATTTCTCTCAGAGCCGAAATTCATTAAATAATAATTAATGTTACATTGGTATTAATAAATTGATAACAGTCATAACTTCTGCTTTCTAGACAGAATCGCCTAAAGAGACATTTTGTTACTTGCTCGTGTCTCTGCTCACCCCTCCCCACCCACTCTTTGCAGTGTGAAAAACGTCCAGCATGTGAGATGCATGCCTGCCTGCCTAAGCTCTTGAATGAGAAAAAGACAGAAACAGGAAAGTTGCTGCAGCTTTGACCTGATGGTCACCTCCTCTGCTGTCTCAACAAGAGAGGCACAGCTGTCTTGAAAGGTGGCAAAAACACACAATAGCCAAATTGACAAAACAAGAACAAGAGCTCTCAGATATAGGTTGCAAGTTAAACTAAAGACCTTGTATATATGTACACCATTTTCAAACTGTTTGGCTGAAAGATAGTTTTCGGTTTTCAAGTGTGTCAAAAACTATTTAAGAACACCAATAGGCAACAGTGGATGAAATTCACTTTCCATTTTAAAAAAGACATTTTACTTCAAATATGATATTATATTTGATATTATCAACAAATTTGCAAATCAAAAAGTTTATAACATCATTTATAATGTTACATTATAGTACATTATTAATGTATGATTAAAACACAGGTTTAAATTAAACTACAATAGAATTCATTTGTAATTACAATTATACATTTTCTGTCTTGTAACATTAAAATCAAAATTCATTCAAATAACCAGAAGGCACCAAAAAATATTTGCCTAGGACACCAAACATAAACCTGCCACTGATCATCACCATCACCCTCATCATCATCATCATGTATTGTAGGATGAAAGGCCTGAGGTCTGTTCCAGGTTTGGTAGCAGGACTAAAAAAGATATCAATCTTCCTAGATGTCACAATTATAGTGTGTCCTGCTTTTACACAATTCTATTGGTAAAGTTATATAGAAAATAACTTTCTTTCAATTTTTCCATGTATTCAAAATTAGTATTACAAATAATTCTGAATATCAAAATTACTTTAATAATTATCCGATTTGATAATTAATCTTTTCATTTCAAAGCATGTTTCCAACAGACAACATCTTCTAACAAATAGCTTATTTAAAAAAATTTTATAATAAATTATTTGAATGAGCACTATTTTCAATATTTGTCTAAAATGAGCTTTCTTTCATTTTTGTTTCTGGAGCAAAGAATTTTCTGTCAGTGTTATTAAAATGAATTAAAATTTGACAATGTGCCAGAGACTTTTCTCTGAATTCAACAATTATGAAGATGCTAAAAGGTTAATGAAGAAAGTTGTTAACATACTTGCTTTCCAATATACTCAGATCCCATTTTAAGAATGCGGCAACTTTAAGGGCAAGGATTTTAAGAGCAAGGCTTTTCCGATTCCTCTTTGTTCCATTTTCTTCGCCTTTGGTAATATCTACAGGTTCAGTGGCTGTCCCTGTTTCTTCATCTTTCTTTTCAGAAGCTATTGAGAGGAAGCTTACAATAAGGTCGGTCGCCGACGGCTCTGGAATGTGTATAAACCTTTAATGCTTATTACAAGTTCTGAACTGACCTTTACGGTTTAAAATCAATAATAATTACGATTTCGAATAATTAACAAAGAAACTTATTTCACATATATATTACCGGGCTTGGTTTTGGCCAAATGTTTCTCAAGTAAACTTGGATTAAGAAGAAATTCAAACCACAAAATCGTATCAGGGGATATCGGTACAGTTCCAGGACGTAACAGATCGACATCCATTTTATTTGATCAAATCACTTCACATACAAATTCAGTAGTTTTCATTCTCGCACCTATGGATCAACATTACACGTCTCATTATAACATTTCGTTTTGAGGTTAAGAGCTAGAGACACATGTCATTTTATACAAAGTTTACAAACGACGCTTCGGGGGACACCAGAGTACGCTGAAGGCGGCTAACGTCAAGCATACCAACCATGACGACTGTGACTTTGTGATACCAACTCTCAAGGCTTGTTTGTTCGGCTTAGCCGAAGGTTTGTGTGATTTTGGCGTTGCAGATCGCACGCATGTCGCGTTTTACTGCTATGTGTGGGCGTGTGGCTGGTGTGGGTTCGGGTCGGACCTTACCAGACCTTACTCAAAAACCAAATCGGCTTTTGTGTTGCACTACGTATTAATTTTTAATACCTTCCGCATTGTCGTGGCCACGTACGGCTGTTGAGGTTTTAGGTACTGACTTGCGCGCTTTTTGCAGTTAAAAAAGGCAGTTTCGAGAATGACCAGAACTGATTTTTCCCAACCACTTTTCCCACTCTGCTGCGTAATGGTTTGCGAGCGGCGTTTTTTGCATTCTCGCTGCTGTGTTCTAAACGCAGGGGACCTAAACGGCTGCCAAAATCTCATAGCTTTGCGTTTTTCGCGCAGAAGCCAGAAAACCGGCGACACCTTTCTGTAGGCTGTTTGTATATGTTTTGAGTGTGTGTGAAAGCTCGTGTCTACAAATTATGGTGAATACATTGACAACGTTTGTGCTTGTGTGTGTAGTGCTGCGAGTTGATCGCAAAACTCAGCCCAGTCAGAGGGTTGTGGAACCCACTGCCTAGGGCCGCAGAAGGCGCAATTGCTACCAACTGCGAAGGTAATGGGGAAGTGATCGGAAAGAGAGAAGGGAACCGGTTTCGGAGTAGTGACTCGAATATTCCCTGATGCGAGTGCCACATCGAGGATTTCGGGTCGAAAGCGAGGGTCAATGGGGAAGCGGGTTGGTGTGGAGGGCGAGATGAGTATCACAATGTTGTGTGATAGCAGGAATCTTGTGAGTAAGTTTTCGTTGCTGTTTGTTGTGTTACTACTCCATACCTCGCACTTGGCGTTCAGGTCGCCCGCCAAGACAGTGCGAGGTGCTAAGGTGAACACAGTGTCGAAATCGTCATCTATGAGAGGAAGATTTGGTGCTAAGTATGCTGACACCAGTGCAACTTCGCCTTCCGTCTTGTTTATCAAAATCGCTGCCGCTTCGAGCCTCGCGAGGCGATGTAAAGCTGCCGGGCCAAGGGGGTTAAGCGGCGTACGGCAACCGCTACACCGCCTTCGCGATGGCGAGTATCGCGGTTTGGTGCGGTAGATAGCCATGTCATTTAGCTCCAGGTCGTCGGCGCGTTTTGTTTCCTACAATATAAGAACATCGATGTGATGTCTATTACAGAATAGCTCGATAATGCGTCGATATCCTGGGGCCGTGTGACCGGAACGGCCGTTGACGTCTCAGGCAGCTGCCGCGAGAGGGAGGGTTCTGGTGTTTCCCTGCGTTCGGTATTCAGCCATTGCGGGCTGTCACTTGAGCGCAGAGAGTTTGTAGTAGTGTAGTGAAGTTTGTAACCCGCTGTTTCAGCTCTGATACCTCCTTATGGAGTTGCTCCGTCTCCGACTTAGTAGCAGGTGTAGTGTGTGGAGGCGGTGTAAGGGCGAGCGGCTCTGTTGTGAATGCCCTTTCGGTCATTAGAGTTCGTCGCCGCCTTTGCCGCGCGCGCTGCTTGCGTAGGGTGTTGTGGTGAGTGGGCCGCTTTCGTCAACCGCAGCAGCTGCACCCGCTTCGGCCAACATGACGCCGGGAGAAATCCTAGGTGCCATCAATCAGCAGGATTTGCCTGACATCCAAAAGGCCCCTTTAGGGGCCAACAAAAAGACCGGAAATAGCAAGGCTTCGTGCATTTCTAACGCCCTCAAGGCCTTGATGCAGGCCGACGAGGACGGATGCCTTGCCCAGGTGACAACCGATCTGGTAGCGCTCTTCGCAGCCAAGCTGACACCTGCTGAACAAGCACAGTTCAGCAAAGCCGCCGCCAAGAATGGGCTTTCGGAGTTTTACTCCCGCCCATCTTGCGCTCAGCCACTGCCCGCCGACGCCGCCACCTCCGGCAAAGGCAAGAAGCGCCGACCGCCGACGCCACCGCCTCACGCCTTCCACCTCGCAGCTTTCTAGCTCTGTCTGCGAACGGGGAGGAAATACAGGTGGACAATGTGTACGTCGAGAGCGCCGCAGCCTTCGCGACCCCGCCAGCCGGAAACGGCGAAGCGGGGGCCCTCGTTGTCGAACTCGCGACTTCCGGCGCCGTGTCACCTCTTCCACCCTCTCCGCTGTGCCAGGGCGAAATCGCCGCCTCTGCCAACTCAGGCGATGTTTTTCCACTGATTTTATTTACGTTTAATTGGTGCTATATGTGTGCTACTGCTAACTTCACAGTTTCAATTGCCCGAAATCATCGTCAGTTGAAATTTACTGGATGCGTAGTAAAGGCTTCACAAGAAATAGGCAAAGTACGGTCAGCGAAAGTCTGTAAAACGCATAGTTAATTCATTGGTTAGGTCAAAGTGAATTACTAAAGCAGAAGAAGAAATGTCATTAAAAATGAAACAAAATTCCCAATTGTGTACGCACGAGCGTTAAAGCAATCGAAAACAATATCGATATCAATAACAGGTGAGTATGGAGGTTGTGCCACCTCGAACATTAAAGCAATCGAAAGCAGTAGCGATATCAAGAACGCATGAAGTCGAGAAAGAACTTTTGCACGGTTTGGCCGAAAACGTATAGTATAAGTCGCAATGGAAGAAGTTCCAAATTGTGGCAACAGAGCTATAGTGAAATTGTCATTAACTGTTCTGTGCTATTCAGTGTTGAGCGAAAACATTGTGCGCCTAGGGCAAGTGCCCTGCCGGGGTCAACACTCCCTTTAATGTAACAATAGGTTAAGTTTAGATATAAGGAATTTGTTCGACTAAATTCATAAATTCAAAACCATCCCAATGTGTTTCACTGCATGCGTGGAGCGTGGTACGGTCTGATATTAAGCATGATTCCATTATCCTCCTCCCATTTCAGAGCAGCCGGGGCAAAGTTCCGAGGTCAACAATACCAGCAAGTCTAAGGTAGATCGCCCGACTAATGAAAATGTGGCCCGTAAACATATTAAAGGTTTCACGTTTTAGTTGTTCCCCTGGATGCCTTGCAAGTTGGACACCCTTGGCCTAAATTGATTAGGGAATGTCAGTTTTGGAGAAAATCGCTTGAACGGCTTAGTCACTGGCTTTGACCACCGATAGGCGGACATTTTGTCAATTAAAGTTTCGGTACAAGGGACTCACAAAACATGAATTCAAACTACACATGTTGAAGGAAGTACTTAACTACATACAGTGGGGGCGGATCCAAAGATGAGTTTTGGGAGGGGATATTCAAAATGTCTTCGTCAAATATGTATGTTACAGTTTT